GTGCTCTCAACTTTGGAAAAAGTTATCCCAATTTACTGTGTTGAGTTGGCATTGTACAGAAATGGACAGCCATACTGGTCTAGAAATGTTAATTTAAAAAATTTTTTTTCCTATTTGTACAGGGACTGTATTAAATATGTAAGGTCATATCTACATGGGTTTGATTACAGAAACTAATAGTATTCTCTTATTTTAATCTTACATCATTGCCTTTTCTCTTTTACTTTCCTTTTCAGTTTTATTTTAGGATTCCCTATTTTTAATGTTCATACAGAGATTTCTTTAACTAAAATACCGAATAGTTTCTCTGGTGTGAAAAACTATAATAGTATACAGGATCCTAATGAGATAATTAATAATGTGAAATAGGAAGTAAAGGGCTAAAGGTGTAGGGAAAGTGGGAAGGGTGGGGGAAAGGTAATAAGGGAGAGGAAAAAAATATGAGAAACTGAAAAAATGGAAATAAAGTGTTTGTAAATGGGGAGGGAAGGAGGGGGTGAAGGGAGGGCAGGGACAAGGGGAAAAAATGAGAATCAAGACCTATCATGTAAAGGTACAGGATCCCAATAATGAATGTAACTGTATTGTATACCTAGATTGTACCAATAAACTCAATAAAAAGAAAAAAAATACTTAGTTTTCTACTCAGTGATGGTTTGCTATCTCAAAATATGGTATGTCAATCTTAGAAGATATAAACTTGAAAGGATTTTTAGTTTAGCAAGATACTTGCATATCTATAGCATGGCTTTGTGTTGCTAAGTTTTATGTCACAGGGAATTATTTCTATTCTTCTGCTCTGTAACCATAAGTTTTATTTTCCTATCTTTACTAAGATTGATATTCCCCATTTTAAAGTCATTAAGCTTTATAGTCCTAAGGAAAAGTTACGCTCAGTATTAAAAAAAACTATTAAAGAATATTGAGCTTGCTAAGTTTGGTAAAGTTGAACGATAAAGATGAATCGTATTCAGTCTTGCTCCTGCCATGATTTCCACAGGAGGATTTTCCTATGAATATTTCATCATATTTCTATCATGCTGATATATGGAGATGCTAAATTAAAGTGTGGATATATAAATATATTCTTCTCATGAGAAAGCATAAATCTCAAGTCTGACAGCTCAGAAGCAACAAGCACTAACGTAAAACCGTGCTGTGGCCCTGTGCTTCACAGTACATCCTCTGAGACAGTGCCTATACTTTGCTTACCATACAAACATTGAAATTCATTCCTGAAATACCTGCCACTTGCTTACAATGGATTATTCAAGTTTTATTAAGTAACGAATGAACAACAGCTAATCAATATTACACACATGAATAATGCCACCGCACAAATAAATACCTCCAAATCGCAGCTCAGGTCAATATGAGGTTATCTTCAATATAAGGTCATTATAAAGCAAATTATTTCAAAATTCCATTCATGTTCTGTGGTTTTTATAAACTAAAAATAGCAATTAACATTACTTATCCTTAGCATAGAGTTCCAGGTACCAAGCTAAGTGTTTCTCATACACTAGTATATTTAATCCTTACTTGTTAAAAAGAGCTGATGATACATGTATTACTGTTTCTCTTGTTTTATCAATGAGAAGATGGAGGCTGGAGAAGTGGACTGGAGAAGTAACTTACCCAAAGCCACACAACTAGTAAAAGTTATCGAACTGAGATCTGAACCCAGTCTGACTCCAAATCCGCTTCCCCACTACACTAAACCTCCAGTAAGCACCTCATTCTATAAATCTCAATTAAGGCTTCTGAAGAGCCCAACTATGTTTTAAGCAGTTTTCTGGGACAAAACAAAGCCCAGAGGAATTTGATGGGATGCTTGCTTTAATATGGGAAAGTGGTTTTCTTTATGCCTTTCCATAAATCTGTTGTTTGTAACCTCTTTAGGTAATAATTTATTAATTTTTATTTTACCCAGGGCAGAAAAATTTTCTTCCAGATTCTGCAATTACAATACAGTCCCTTTTATCATTCTATCACCAAGGGACTGCTTAATAGTCCCTGAAAATGTGTACGCATCTGAATGAAGGGCAGTTCCATAGGGCTGGACAGAGCCACAGGTATTGAGTCCCACATCACACAGTCAATGGATAGATAATGGAAATAACATCAACACTACTTATTCACCAGAAGTTTAGATTCCAAAACTCTAATGCATCTATCTGTCCTATGGCCTACCAGAAGTCAGTGTTATATAACTTTCACACAAGTCCTCAGTGGCGATCTCGGACATGATGTCTTTATTGTAGAAGAATAGTTTATAACACTGTAATTACATGAATTGTGCCCAAAGTACAAACCTGGTCAATATTGAGGCGAAGAGGCATTAATGACACTCTCAAGCAACATTCCTGTGGTGACCTGCCAGACTCTGGACGCACATGTAATGCTTTAATTGTCAGCTAAAAGACAAGAAAGAGAAAACTGTTTTTCCCCAATGATGACCTTGTTCTCATTGAAAAAGAGAAAAGAAAAAAAAAATCATATTCCTATATGAGGTGTGAAAGTGGAACTGAAAGCCTGAATCTAACTTTTTGGGGGTCATAACCCTTTTCAAGAATCTGATAACAGACACGGACTCCTTCTAAGGGAAAAAATGTGAATGGATATGATACTTGCATATTAAAAGGGAGTTTCCAGAGCTGAAGCTAGGCCATGGGCCCATCTTCAAAGACAAACTCTAAGAATCATCAAGTGCTGAGCTAAAAACAGCTCTATCTTAAGTTTTTAAAATGTTAGAAATCAAGAACTCTTACGGAATCCTGATCATTTTGTGCAGACTGCTATGGATTCCTGGTTTTCCTCAGGTATGCATCTATTGGCAACTATAGTTAATGGGCCCCAGAAGTGACAAGCAAAATACATTTTTAAACATAAAACTTTAAGTGGCATATCTAAGAGAAATTTTCATATTAAATTTTTTCTCCTCTCTGGTAATTTTCCCCATTCTAATTTTTCTGCTGTTAAGATACAATGACAACAAGAAGAAAAATGCATTTCCAAAACTAATATAACAACAAAATGATGTTTTAAATGCTACCATGTTGGAATGAGCTTTCCGAGGCATTTCTTTGCTGCAATACAGGTACAAAAACTTGTTCATCTGTGACGTTGCCAGGCGATCTCGGATCTCCAGGTCCTGCACAATGAACACCTGACGGGAAACCGGGTGCTCTAAGAGGCCTGAGTCACACTGTGGCTTGCACAGGGGATATACTTCGTGCTGAAATTTCACCTAGGAAAGCAGAACATTTTATTTAAATTAGATTTTCTCAATAAAATGCAAAATTTCACGCATCATTTTCTTTGAATTCTATCTCAGCTCATAATTCCATTTTTGAAGAACTAACGAGATTTCTTCACTTGTTCACTTACTTGTTGATCTATTTGTACCCTACCATACATGCATAAGCTTGACTAACGATTCTTATCTGACCCCAGTAAAATCCCTTATCATTTGCAAGCAAACTTCTCATTTGGAAAACATAAAATCATCATCTTGCATGCTTATGAAATTATACAAAAATCAATGGAGGTGGGGTTCAAGTTCCAAAAGAGGGCAGATACAACAAACTATTAATATGGAATTGTCATCACTATGATATCTCCATGTTAATCCCCCTAAATATGACACTTGGGACACCTCAACAAGCTGACAACACTAAATGTGGGCACCATGCTCAGTGGCCTGGCTCCACAGCCCCCAGATGGTCGCTCCCAAAGGCCCCGCCACGGGTCTTACCCACAGGCACACTTCCCAGACAGATACTGCACGGCAGAGGGTCCCCAAGTAGCCTAGGACCAGTATCTCAGTACCACCTGGGGACTCACTACAAGTGCAAGTTCTCCAACTCCACCTCAGACTTGCTGTATCAGAAACCCTGAGGTGGGGCCCAGAAGCCTGTGTCTTAAAAAGTAGTTTGGGGGATTCTGAGCTCACTCAACTCAGAACCCCTTACTCCAGGGCAGCATAAAAACACCTCGGACTTCCTAGAACACCTGAGTAAGAAACAGGAAGCCTTCTATACAAGATCCTTGTACTTTTCTCAACCAACAGTAAGGACTTCAGGTTCAAGGCCCATGGGATAGGTGTAACCAAGAAACCTTCACTAATGCTCCTATCTAGGTGGAGTTTTCTTATTTAAATGACATCTTACCTTGCTTAACTGTATTTCCATTAAAAAGTCATGGTTCCTTCCTTTCCCTCCACATACTGTATTTCGTCCATGTCTTGTGGGTGTGTGAGAAGGTGAACTATGGGGACTGCTAAACATGAAAACAAAAAGAGAAAAAAATATTAAGAACATCCAACGAAATTTAATGAATGTCATCAGAATATTAAGATGAAAAGAGAAAAGAAGTCTACACAACTAGCTATATTTTTCTATTCTCAAGATATTGAAAATGTATTTTATTACTGCCGCTAGTCATCTGCTTGATAAACATTCAGAACTATAAAAAAACCCTAATTATGTTGCTAGGGTCCGTATCATAGGGTACACCTGGAAATGAGACCTTCTTATAACTTTGTTATTTCAAAAACTTTTTGGGTCAGAGCACAAGTCCTAAAAATGCTAATGGCTAATAAAGAAAAGTATCATCAAGTGAGAAGTACTTTAAGTCACAAGGTTTTAAAGTAATTTTTAAGCAAAAACAGTGCTGCTAAGTGTGGTGGCCTATAATCCCAGCACTCAAGAGGCTGAGGTAGGAGGATTGCTGTAAATTCAAGGCCAGCCTGGGCTACATAGTGAATTCAAGGCCAGCCTGAATTAGAGAGCAAGACCCTGGATCAAAACAGAAAACAAACAAAAAAAAA